TTCAATTTTCTTTTCAAAAACACCCACAGAATCCAAATTTTCACCCATTTTCTCCAAAATTGTTTTCAATTAAATCCCTAAAATAATTTTACCCATTTTATTATTATTATTATTATTATTATTATTTCTATTTAATTAAATTAAACTAAATTAAAACAATATATTATTACATAATAAATCATTATATTCATATTAAAATTACAAAAAATTAAAATAAAATAATACTAATAATAATAATAATAATTGGGGTGTTACACAAATTGTGTATCGTACATGTTTTTATTTTCGAAAAATAATTTTTATCTTTTTCTCGTTAAAAAATTGATCATGTTACTATTGATCTGCTAATATCATATAACTGTTGAAAACGTAATAAATTTCAGAAAAAAATAAAAATTTAATTTCTCTCATTTTTATAGTATTTCAATAAATAAACAAATAAATAAAATTAACTTTTTTTTTGCCAATTTGTCTTCTTTTTTCCACGACACCATATTCATCACTACCATCGTCGTTATTACTTTCGAATTCTTTCACCTCAAAATTCTTTGGCAAAGTAATGTATTAAAACTTTTTTCAGTACATATTTATGTTAAGGTGCATGTATACATTAATAATAGTTGTATGAATTTTAAGATACGCGTATACTTAGATTGATACATGAATTTTAAGATGCATGTAAGTATATGTATGTATATATTTTCTTTGCTATATAAACTGCTTTTATAATTTGAACACACTATAACATTTATCTATATCACATCAAGTTGTTGCTATAGATGTCTTAGAACTTCATCTTTACTCTTTGTGCGCTTCTTTTTCTTTTCTTAGAATGCGTAGTCTTTTTTTTCTTTTTGCTCAAACTTTATTTAACAAACTCATATTTTTTATCTCTATATATTAATTTTTTTCCGTTAAAAAATATAAATAAAATTACGCACTTGAAACAAGTAAAAATCGTAATCAAACGAACTTTTACCCTTTTGCTCCGCACGAAATTTCTGTTCTCGTTGAATTCATCTTAAGACGTCTGCATTATCTTTTAACAGATGTACTGTTCCAGTCAAACTCTTCATCTGACAATATCTTCCGCCCGGATCGACCCGCGGAACAACTTGCTTGAAACAAATAGAAAAACGTTAATTACCAAATTCGAACAAAATAAAAATTATTAGAAATGTCAAATGTGTGAGATTAATTAAATAATTTATCTTTTTTATTTATATATTTATTTTATTTTATTTTATATTTTGAAGATACATTCGGATGTGACAAGGAAGTACGTTGTCCGGCACTGGTGATCACATCGTGACCGTAGCTTTTACTTTTGTTCACTTTAACGGCAGTTTAACGGTTCCGTTATATTCGTTTTTGCACGTGTCATATACCAACCTAATCTTGTTTTTCCAAGTCCATGTTGAGTCGGCCCATATTATAAAACTATATACCAAGTTTCATTTTTTCTCATGATTTTCTCAATTTTCAAAAATTTAGAATGATAAATACTTTATACATTAAAATATATTTCAAATTTATATTTAATTTTATTATAAATGTATTCTATAATGCATGTAAGTAATAAATAATTTTTTTTTACTATTTAAAAAATTGATTTTTTAACAAATTCCAAAGTACAATATATGGAGTGATTTTTTTTGGAATCATCAAAATTTTTCGTGTTCCCTTATGATGGTGCCATAAATAATTAATCTATCAAATTCAAGTTCAACTCAATATTTAAATTCAAGTTTTTTTTTAAATTTGATCTTGATTAAGAGGACATATTGAAAAAAAGTATACTTTATTTCATTTACGCTTGATAAATCTTGACTTTCGTAAATATAAAATAAGTGTGAAATGTATTTGAGCTTGAGAAGGAACAAAATCAATTTAGATATCAATGCGATGCATAGTACTGGTTTTTGGCTTTAATTTCATAAGTAAAAAATCTGATAAACAAAATCCAATTTGATTTTAATTTTCAGAATCCGAACTCATTACATTTTCTATATAATGCAGATATTCTCTATCTGTTTGTCTGTACATTTTTTCAAAAAATCACTATATATTAATCATACACTGACTCAATTCTAACAGCGAAACATTATTGAAGCAAAATTTTTACAATATTAGTGCAAAATATTGTTACAGAAACCTTTGTGTGTATTACCATTTTCATTATAGCATAATTCTACCATTTTGTTCACACCAACCAACATCTCTCTTTTGGCTTTTTCTCGTATACATCGAAAGTTTCTACAGAAAATCCATCATGGTAGACCCAGCTGAAAAAGTTGTCAACATCCAATTTGACAAGTTTTACGAGACTAGCCTCAGCCCTCAAGTCAACAAAGAACAACTAGACCCTTTCTCACCTTCATCTGACCCCCTAGACTCTTGTACGAATGAAGTACACAAGTCCAAGGGGGGGCTTAATGACACACATCTTCGCTTCGAAGATTGCATCGAGGGCAACATCAACAAGCTTAACAACAAGAATGAAAAGCTTATCAAAAAAACGAGCTTTGATTGCAAAACCAATAAGGCACAAAAGAGGTCTCAGTCCATTTCACCACCTCCAGCTCCAATTGCAATAAAGAGACGTCGTCGATTCTTGTATTCAGGTCATGAAGATGATGATAATGAAGGCGAAAAGGATTGTGAATTTGGTAGGTTGGTAAATAAGCGAATAGTGAGAAAGCTTTTGAATGATTTCAGCCGAGTGGCTAACAATGCATGAAAACAGCTCGATGATTAAGAAAATAGTGTCAGCGTGTTAGAGCACTAAGTAATGAAAGTGGGGGGATGAGCTTAGGGGGTGATAAGAAAAGGGTAGTAAGAAAAGTGAGATAAAAAAGTTCTTTGTTTACTAAATTTCGAATTGAGTTAGAAATTCTTGTATATGGATTTGTATGTATACAATCTATAAGAACGAGAATAATTAATAAAAATATGTTTGAATTTCAATAATAGAAAAAAAAAAATCGTTGTTAAATTTTAAATTCGTACATTGAGTTTGAAACATCAAATTAAGGTTTTGTGTTTTTTTTTTAATCCAGCCATATATTGTTTATATCTATTATTTATAGATCGAGATCGTATGTGTCAATCGTGTGATGAGGCAAAAGCTTGTAATTAGCTAGTTATGAGGCAAGTATATATAAAAAATTTAATTATAAATCGAGTGTGGATCTAGTTATATACTTTGTTTCACCCTTTCAACCATGCTATTTATATAATATATAATTAAATATTTTTATTATTACATTTTCAATTTCATTACTAGTTATTATTTTTGTGAATAATTCTTTTAACATTAAAATAAAATTAATGTGATGATAAATATATATAAAGTTATAGTAGATGATTTATTTAATTATATTATTTTATATTTATTGTTGAGTTTTAGTTATGTCATAATATTATTTGAAATTATATTTTATTTTTATTAATGCTTGAGATTTTTAATTAAATATTAATTAATTATTTAAATAATTTACAAAATTTTGTTAGAATAAAAAAAATGAATTGATGTGGTGAACAGAGGGAGAATGGATTAAGGAACAGGGTGTGTAAGAATGGTTGGTAAAGAGTTTTTTTAACTCTTCATGGATATGGAACAAGTGTGAGAGTATATACATTTTCTAGTGGAATGGGTATGGGAACTAACAAGCATATCCCATACATGCCCTGTGCCCATCTTTATGTCAAAACCATTATTATTTATTTTTACATATAAATATTGGCACAAGGCGATTCCACTCGTGTGAAACTCAAAGATATGGAGCACCCCACAACCTAGACAACTCAATTGACTAGATTGAGCCTTCCTTTACATTCATTAAAGAATCGTAATCTGTAAAGGTCCGGAACCTTAAAGAAAATGAATTTATAATTTAAATGCGGAAGCGAATAATAGAGTTATGGTTTACATTCCTTACACAACAATTTAGAATACTCAATAGGATTATGAGAATGTTTCTTCTAAAAAACGACAGTAATTAAAGGGAAAAAAATGAATAAATAAACATCCTATAACAACCTTCACTAGTACTTGAAGGGAGTCCGGGGAGTGAACTACTCAAAACTCTCTTGCTGATCGGGATCTGGATCTTGATCTTCTTGATCTGAAATGGTTAATGAAATGGTGAGTTACACTAACCCAATAAGAATATCACACTAATCACATATACGAAAAATTGAATATTAGTAAAAATCAGAAAAATAACTAATAGAGATCTTACTTTAATTAAATACATTTAACATAAAGACACTTGTTTGATATATACCGTTACAAGTTTTCCAAAAGCAACCTATAAAGACTTATATTCATACCACTTTTCATTTTCACACATAAGAGAACAAGTGACGATAATTTTTCTTTTTTACTTGCTTACTGGTATCCTTAGAGATTCATAAGAATGTCTCCATACTCGTGAACCTAATATTCAATTTTAATAATTAACCGACCGTCCTCATACCCCGTCCAGTAATGGGCACCAAATATTCCATCGTCTCGATACCCTATCCGGTACGAGAGTGAACCATATCTCTCAAACTTTTCATGTATGGGACTTCCTAACCCCGTCTAACTGAGATGACGTTCACGGTAGAGTTCCCTATATACTGGGCCCATCCACCCTTTTTTTAGGTACCCAATAAGTCTTTCACATAAAGATTCTCATCAAGCAAAATAACCAATAAATGCATACTAATATCTCATATTATATTTACATATCAATTAGACTACATTTATGCAGACGATGTAACTTATCATAACAAGAGATCGAGTAACCAGATAACCACATAAACCAAATAAATCGATAATACAATTGAAATTATAAATTAAGAACATGCACAATACGATAACAAGCAAGTAGGACAGTATAAGAAAACAAACAGGAAATTAGGACAATTATAAACTAATCGATTCCGACTCAACTAATGACCTGTAATTATTTTAAAGATTTTCTAACTTTTCACAAAAATACAAAATTACACATCGTTAAGTCTCAATTTTTTGTAAATAAGAATAAGGTGAGGGATCCTTACCCGGATCGGTAGTTTCAAGACGTCGCACTGTTTACTATGTCTCCCAACAGGTATCAAATTTTCTGTCTTTTTTTTTTGCAGAATCCAAAATACTTTTCACGTACCTAAAAGTACCCCAAAAATTTAAAATCGGTGCTTAAAACTCTTTCCGGCCGATTTTGGGGTTCTGGCACCGGCTCCGTCGCCCACGGTGGCAATTTGTCTTAGCCTGACTGGTTTTGTCTGATTTTACATGTACTCCTACAGAAAAATATGTTAGGGGGCCTCAATTGGCCGAAAAATCACCAAAAACACTGAACCTACCGGGTCACCAAGTGCAGCGGCTCTACCGGTCCTTCTTCGCTGCTGGGGTTCCTTCTTCGGCTAACTTGTACAGAAAAGGACAGTGAACACAATGATAAAAAAATTGCGTGAAATAGAAAACGGAAAGGGGCTCATCGAATGGATTTTTGGGTTTTGGCTGCGACAGCTTCGTTGGACTTTGCCCGTAGTGTCCGGCTCATCCGTCATCCCTCTTACTCCAATTTGGCCACATGGATGCTTGTAATTGAATTCCGAGCAAGTAGGGAGAAATGTTACCTTTTTTGGCTGTCGGTGGTCAGCTTCGTTCTCCGGTGTCTGGTTCTTCTTCTTCGACGGGGGCTGGCGGCTAAAGTTTGGGCTTCCATGCGATGCGAAATATTTATACCCAACCCGCGTCGATCTAAACCATTCATCGTAATTGATCTCGTTTGTCCAATTGTACCTAAGGAGGAAATGAATCTGGACCATTCATTGTAATTGATCTTGTCCGTTCGATTACACCTTAGGAGGGAACGAATAAGAGTCGTCCACACGCGCAAGCTCGATCCTAGGTCGTCCGACCTCAAGGCACGCGGATCGCCCGCGTGGCCTCCCACGTGATACCGACGTTAGCGTGTCTTGCCACACGGCGTGCTCCGATTTATTGGAGCTATTGATTGGACAGTCCTACGTGACCGAACTTTTACTATTTATACTTTAACCTCCTGTTTTCAATTTTTCTCTCAAAGACACTTCGGAATTCAAATTTTCACTCTTTTTTTTTTCAAAATTGCTTTTAATTACATCCCTACATATTTTTTTTTAATAATTTAATAAAATTGAATAATAATTAATTTATAATTAATTTTTTATTTATTTTTAAAATACCAAAATTGATCCCAGACTAGAATTTGGGATCGGGTATTACATAATCTCAAAACTAGGCTGGAAGAGCCAAACCATCAACCTAAAACATATCTTCCTCTGCCTCACCATTGTCAAAGAATCATGAGATAAAAAATAAATTGGGAGATTCAAATGGGTCGAAGTGGTTGAAAGTCAAGTTGTTAGTCATCTAGGTTAGCAAATGGAATAGGTATTGATTTATCCACAGTTGCCTTGTATCCGTAATGAATATTTTTTTCTTTTGCTCATACTCGTTCCATATTTCTTATTCTTTATCTATTTAATAGCTCCTAACAAAAACGACAGCGACAAATTAAGGAATAACCCACCTCCTTAGCCATCCCTAAAGTTAAGGTGCTAAGATAACGGTCTAGCTTCTTTGAACTATCTAAAGAGAATTGGTTAATGAATTTATTGGAATAGGTCGAATAATGTTTGACTTTTGTTTTTGTTATAATGGTTAGGTTTACATGAACTAAAAAGAAATTAGGTAGGGGAATGGGATAGTAAGTTTTAATAGTTAGTTTTTACCGATAACGGTTCGATATTTTTGGATCAATGACTAAATTAAGTAAAATTAGGTTAGAAAATTCGACTACGTCCGTGCTAAGTTTCTTCGCAATCTTAAGTTTTTTCACAAAAAAATTGGTTCAATTTTTTTTATAAACAAACAGTGAATTTAGTTTCGTTCTATTGTAATAATGATTTTGAGATAGTTATAATTTTACTACAATATATATATATATATATATATATTTATCTAGTTATACAAGAAAAATATAATGCATGATTAGTCATCTAATTACTCTGTTATAGAGGTTTAATTTAATATTATATAACAGTGATTCATGAATGTTAAGAGCCGTAATTTTTCAATATTTATTATTATTATTATTATTTTTATTCTTAATCTAATTATGAATACATTTTAAAAATATATATTTTAAAAAATATAATTATAATATTTGTAAAAGGTAGGAAATCAGATTGAGTTTTAATGGTCAAAATCTCAACTTAATATTTTTTCCATAAAATAAAATACCATTTTCCATATATATATATATATACATATATAAGCAGACACATGAATATCATGTGTGTGTGTATATATATATATGTGCGTGTGTGTGTGTGCACAGAATTTTTCGACAAAATCAGATTTGGTTTTAATTTACCAAAGCGAGTCGCATGATTATCTCCACCTCTCCCAACCCTCAGAAAAAGTAAATAAATAAATAAAAAAAGAATAATTCACTGGCGGCAAATTTCTGAAAACTCTCCCGCCAAATCTTGCCGCCAACATCTTCTACACCTCGCCATTTTCAATTACAGATATAAACCCATCATTTTCCCCACTTCATCAACTCTCTCACACAAATTCCCCCAGCGAGAAATACCTCAATCAACCATGGTGGTCCCTGCAGAAAAAGCTACCGGAATCCAGCCCTGCAAATTCTACGGCAGCAGCCTCCCTCGTCCTCGAATCTACACCAACCCACAGTTCAACGACGAGCGGATCGATCCTCCGTTGTCGGTTGCCGATCCGCTTCTCTCCTGGGCGAAGGAAGCTCACTGGTCCATGGGTGGACTCAGCGTCAATCGCCTCCGTCTACAGGGCCGAATCGAGGGAAACATCAACAAGCTCCGCATCCAGAGAGAGAAGCTCGAGAAGAAGAAAAGCCCCAAAGCAAAAAAGAGATCGTGTCGGGTTCAAAAGAGGGTCGGGTCGGAATCGCAGCCGCCGGCTCCAGTTGCTGTGAAAAGGCGGAGGTTGTTGGATTTGAACGGGGAAGATGATGAAATTGACGGCGAGGTGGAGAAGCGAGTGAAGGGGATTGTTAGGAAGCTTGGAGAGGATTTTGATCGAGTGGCGGATCAGAAAGAGAGGGGAAAGGTTAGGGTTAAGATGAGTAGAGGTGAAGTTAACGGCGATGAGGGGAAGAAAGTGGGGAAGGAGAAGAGTAGGATCAGAAAATCTCCGAGACTGGCAAAGTTGAGAGAGAGTTGAAATTGATCAGTTAGGTTTCGGAGCTGGAAGGGTGTCGGCCATGGCGGATTTGCGATGATGAATCACTGTTTTTCTTGAATTTTTAGGAGTTTTTGTTTTTTCGAAGTTCTTAGTAATGGAGAAATGTGAGATTTTCTTGTACATTTCTGTTATTAATTAAATAGTAAATTATTGAATTAGTTTTATATTTAGTTTCAATTTAATTTTATTATTTTCTTTTGTTATAATTTAGTTTAAACATTATTTTTTAATGTTTAAATGAAAAATAAAATAAAATAATCCTGAAATTACTTAAATAATAAAATTAATAATTAATAAATTATTATAATAATAGATGTACTTTTAATTGTTATAAATTTAATTAATTAAAGTTATTTTTTTAATTACTTTATTTTTTTATTAAAAATTAAATTAAAAAAAGTTAAAAAAATTAAGTTATCACAAAAGATTATTAAAAATTAAATTATAATAACTAAAAAATATTAAAAAACTTATATATTTTATTAATTAAATAATAAATATAAATTAATTATAATAAATTTTTTAAAAATTAAATTAATTAAATTTTATAAAAATTATTACATTCAATTTAATTCAATTATATTTTTGTAAAAAAAAAAAAACCAATAATCCAATGAAAAAGTAGATGGTGGTGTAGCAGAATTCATAACTTTTCACAAGAAGGAAAAATATTAAAATTTTAATAAAGAAATAGTTAGTCTAGACCCAATACGTATAGACATAAATATAACTATATACAAACATACTAGACATTGGATTCCATGTTAATAAGATCTATTTAGTTAGAAGAATATATAAATATATATATATATATATGATATTGGATTCCATGCATAAAGACACAATAAAACTATAAATAAATAAATATTATTCAATAATAATTGAATAACAACATCCAATATCTAAATTTGTTTGAAATAAAAAGAAAGCTAAAACATAAGCTAATCCTAAAATATAATAATAGAGCTAATTCTTCATTAGATCATACGAAGTAATAGAATGTGGTGAGAGTAAAAACGTCAGATCCTCTCCGACATTACCCAGTTGAGTGACGCGAGGTACGATCTGCGATAAGAAAAATTTTATCGTCGTGGTTAAACATCACAAAAGATTCAATCAACAAAAAGGAGGAACATGTTTGATATTGAGAGGAAACTAAGAAGACATTTAATCACCTTGTCTGGTTCATCAAGAGAGTTCTCATCCGTCACGTTACAAGATGTTAACTCAGTCTGTGTCCATGAAAAGTTTGAATCAATTCCACTCAAAGAAACTTTGAGAATCACTGGCTTCCATCCGAAGTTTACAATCTGCAACAATTGTTTCATCAAAGAAAGGTTCATTTGTATATATAGATATGTACGTGGAGTAATGCTTTGAGTAAGAAATTAATTGAACATTAGACATGGATGTACACATATTTTTGTATGTGATACAGACATTTGGTATATTATGGTTCATGATTGTTCAAAATCTACATCGGACATGGATGTGCACCGAATTTGAATGTGGCACTAGTACATGGTTATTCCAGAGTATAAAATAAAATTGGTATCATAAGACCATATAATTAAACTCGAGGACGACAAGTACAGGTGCAATAGAATTAGCAAAATATACCTTTATCTTAATATTGTTCTTGCCAGTGTTTGTATCTTTCCAAGTAATTGCATCTGCAATAAGTGAATCAGAGGAGTTGGTCTGAAGTGTTGAATTAAGAAGAGTTGCTCCACTTGATTCTCTGAAAAATTGTTGCATCCAGTAGCTGGGGGTTCCATACATGCGGGAGGAGTCAAAGACAATGGCATCTGGTGTCCACCTTTATCGCGAAAAAGTTATCAAGTCAATAATCAACATTAAATATAAACAATCAATTTCTTAAAGGCATAAACTTTAAATAGGTAGAAAAAGAAAGAAGAGTAAAATACATTCTGTCATTGACATTCACAAAAAGTGGAGCATAGCTTGCCATCTCAACAATATCACTGTAGTGGAGGGAAAAAGAGTTTTTATTAGTTTAACATCTTTCGCATAATACACTATACGTGTAGGCTATATATATCACTTATATATATCATAGCAAATTTGCAAAAAAAATATTCGTGTGAATTACTAAAGCAAAACCTATTCTTTTCAACCCCAAATGAGGAATCCAGCTTCAGCAACAGCAGATAGAAGGGTACCATTACCAGCACCATCAGTAACAGCATATTCACTTATAAAGGGCCTGAAAAGTTAGAATGACATGAATATTAAACAGTTATTTCCTACCAAGCATTCCACAGTTGTAAGAGAGGCAAATCACAATACCCTTTGGACCTCTCGTGATGTAAGGTCAAATTATGTGCCAATAAAACAGTCGCTTGCATTGTAATTCTGGCAAAGGATCAAAAGAAATCAAGATAACATTTCAAAGTCAC